CTTGATCATAACTTTTAACTCTTGTATGAGTTCAGTAGACCAAGTATACCTCAAACTCCTACTAAACGTTTCTGCGCATGCGTTTTTGTGATTTTTGCTCAGACCATTGAAATACTTGATTTAAGTGGAATCTTCACGTGTTTGAGAAACTCAAAGTTTAGCCATCTAAACATAAGGTAAGCTTCACGCAACGTGATCTTTTTCACCATAATTATTATTGCTGTTATTTTTTTTAAAGATCTGTAACTGAGTTTTGGCAACTCTTGAGTAGCCTAACATTTTACCAAATCGTTTTAGCCTTAGACAGGCATCGTTTTTACTCTGTAGGTCATTATAAGTCTGAGAAAGTGACTGTAATTGTCATGCTGAGAAGGGGAGATTTCATGGCTCTTCCTGTTCACTGTTACAGGTTGAATTGGAATTTGGAATGTTGGTTTTTTGCGGAGGGAGGAAAACTGAACCGGAGGATGCGGAGAAAAACCCTCGGAGCGAGAACGATAACCAACAACAAACTCAACCTATATGTGCCGCCGGGTACTGGAATCCAACCCGAGTCTCGTTAGTGGATGGTGGGAAGCGAGTGTTCTCACCACCGCGCTCCCCACGCTCCCCTAATGAATGAGTCAATTATGTTAGACTAAAGAAGGGACATCAAAAAAGCAAAGAAGGAACATCAAAAAAGCAAAGAAGGAACATCAAGAAAGCAAAGAAGGGAACCAGATCAATGATGTAAAAAAGATATTTCTATGTTTTCGATTTTCTATAAAGTTGTTTGTCTCCTGGCTAATATGGCAACCCGTTACTGCCAAATTCTAAAAAAAACCTACTTATTCGCACATTACTGGTCCACACCAATTCCAGTGCTATTGAGTTGCATAACTAACACGGTCAGTTTGGACACTGTGTGGTTGAGTTAGCAAAGTTATAATCTCCATTCAGTATTTAATCGTGACTGCCCAGGTTACTTGTGAAGTCTCGAGTATTTGATGACAATAAGTTAACAAAAACTGCTAGGCTGCCATTGTAAAATGAAAGACAACGACAAACACCAGTCTTGTCTCTTGAACGTTGAGATATGAGCGAGCAAACCACCAAGTGCACTCAGCTGTCAAATTCAAAGTTTAAGATTTTGATTGGTAGGTTTTACGTTGAAGGATACATCACAAGATGACCTCACCTACACTACAATTAGAACTTGGCTTCAAAACGAAAATTATTGCATTGTTAGTTTCTCTCATTTGTGATTCGACATCATTTTTCCGGGCAGTTTTGATTTGAAATGAAAGTTCATTTCACGAAAATCTTATCATGTCTGCTTTTTATCACGTTGGTTAGATCTTCTACTAAGGCTGACAGCCGATTGCAAAAGAAATTCAAGAATGGTAAGAAAATTTTGCTTTGTGTAGTAATCATGAAGAGCCATGGCGCTACAAGTTATCAGGAAAGTTTTGTCACATTTCTTGGTATTTGATTACTTTTTCCGAAATTTCGTTTCGATTGTTGTAGCATAACCACAAACAGACCACACCATGTATTCGTGTCCGGAGGTCAAAACTAATTTCGTAAGAAAACGCTTCAAACGGCCCATGAAGGCAAAAAACCAAAACAAAACAAAAATACCACAAATGTATCGTTTAACATTTCATCAAACTTTATTGAGATATTCAGACCGAGAAATTGAATTTTCAGTGTTTTATTCATAACCCTCAGATTTTGTTCGTCTCATGTCATCGATAATTATTAACCACGAACACATAGTGTGGTCTGCCTGTGGCATAACAACTCAACAATGTAATCAATGGATATCTATTACAACCTCAGCTTGTCCTATGCACTGCGAAAATCTAAAAAGGGCTACCACTCGGCTACTCCAAACAACTTTAGAGTGTTTCTTGCAGTTACGATTAACTTGCTTTTATCTAAACATTTTTGGATGAGGACGCAAATTGATCTGCAATATGACAGACAGAAATCAATCACAGTATCATCAAATTGCTGAAAAACAGCCCAAAACAGATGGATTGGACATTTCCTAGTATCAAAAGTTAAAAGAAACTCCTAGGTTTATGGATCATCTTTCAAAAATTTTCAAAATGTCGATATTCGGATTTGATATGCAGTAGATCATTTCATTTTAAGCACACTCTCCTTCAAGGGAAACAATAAAATCATTGCTCATGAGTCAAACGAAGACGACAAAATGAAGAGGGTACCACAAGTTAACTTTCCATTTCTTATCAAATAACATTTATTCTTATCACACTACCATCCACGAAGATTTTACCTTACAAATAATCTTGATAGTTTTGAAAAGGAACTATTCTCCATTGAAAAGATAAAGTCACATCTTTGATTATACTTGCTTCCAATACAAAAGAGAGGCCAAGATACCAGAAAACACGTTCCCATATGACAGACACTTGTTTAACCCCTTGGAAAGAAACTTTCCAATGACGTGGGTTGAAAGTTTCGAAGCACCTCAACCTGCCTCCTTTTAAAAGTTAAAATTCTGTGGCCTCTTTTCTTCCAATCTTCTTTTCATTTATTACATTCAAATGACGGAGCAAGCCACCAATTAGACTCGTCGGTTAAAACGTTCATTGAAATCATTAGCAATTTTCACATGAAAAAGAAACTGGCAATTGCGTATCTGAAACACTGACTACCCATCGATTGGAATCTTGCGTTTAAAAATGTTGGAAGAGCCGCGACGACATGAGCCAGTTTCTATAACTTCGCTGCTCCATAAACTGCTTTTATCGTGTACCGTTTATTCCTTTATGGCACTCTGGAATTCGGTAAGTGTTCAAAAACTTAGCAAAAAGCTAACAACAAAAATATTATGCTTTTGTAAACATTTTTGGAACAAAAGCGTTTGAATTCTTCTCAGCCATTCTTATTTTTCTAGATTTTCATTTCGAGCCAGTTATCAGGAACAGGACCGAAGAAATGGAAAATCAAGGATCATGGTTCAGCAGAACTCTTCATGACCCTTACGAGCCTTGCTTCACACAATTCTTTGTGAATGGGCAACCACCGTTTGGTCTACGGAACAATTTAAACCCCATAAAATATATCTGTCAACAAATACCAGGGAGTCACAGGGTATTTTATGGTACAATGTTCGATGGAGATGCTGGAATAGCAGTTTATTCAGCTTACAAGTTAGCAGCAAATTTTGATGGCAATGGAGCAGGCCAGGCAAGATGGCATCAAGAACCAGGTATTTTATCGGAGACAACGAAATAATGTTCCATTCAGACTAAAAAAGAGTTAGACTAGGTTCGAGCCTGGATTTCAAGCACCCTTAGAACTTCTAACCGACCAATCTAAAACCTTCATAAATTTGTTTTAACGCAAACACCTTGCGTTAAACACCTGCGAATCGTCTACTTTAATTACTATACTGGGGTAACAACATGATTCCGAGCGCAATTTGGTGTTAATAAGCACGACTAAATTTTTCAAAGACAACAAAATTTACAATTTGTGGTCCTGGAAAAATTTATATGTGTTTATACACACCAAAGTGCACGAGAAATCATGTTGGGCTTGCTGTTAATATACATGAGAGAAAGTTAAGATAGCGCGCACACGCCATTAATAAATTTGTAATTTGCACTCGTGTTATAACTTCAGTAACACTCGTGCGTTATAACTTTGCTCTCGTGTTACATGAAAAATGCACTCATTTTTAGCCAATCAGACGCGCGTAATTTTTTCATGTATATTAGTAAACGCCTGATATAAATTATGAGGGAACATGTTAAGTATACTTTTTATAGCTAGCGATATGCCCTGTCTGCACAAGTGTTTGAGAAGGATCTTCTTTTTGATTTATGGTATGCTTATCTAGGGTCCGTATTTTTTCGAGATTTGGTCTTTTCCCTCAGCTCCTTTTCCTTAGTTAGCCCAAAAAAAAGGCCCCTCTA